TGCACTAAACGACCATTGTTTAGGTTGATGTGCATCCTCTCAGTACTCAAACAAAAGCACGGAGTCGACCGACGCTTCAACCCGCTGCATAAATTTGCGGGTGTGGCGAACCTTTTAAGGGCCATCGAACTGTTAGCTCGTGGGGCGGACACGATATGGAAATGGCTCTGCCGCCATAGATATATTATTATTATAATGATTCTCCGGTCTGGTAATAGCCGCTCCGCACGGGAGGAGGACCCGGGGTAAGGTAACGGACAGTCGCAGCGTGTCCAAGAAACTCCCAAAACTATAGAGTGACATTCTCGTCTCATAATCGTAACTAAGAAATTGTTTAATTGTGCCAGTTACATCCTCTTTGTCTCTCTTTTTTAAAATGCCTTGTTGCTACGGAAGATGTGGTTTTTATATAAAGGTGGCACTTCAAGCAATCCTTGTTATCGCTGAAAATATTTGTGGTTTTTTGTTGGGTTTTTTTTTTGTCTTTCTACTTTGGGAGGGGTTCTTTCGCAAGCTTTACCCACTCGTAGCTTCATCAAATTCTAATTGGCCAAGGGAGCAACTTGGTCCCTTTCTGTTGACGAACAACTAAATAGATCAAGACAACCCACCTAAACTGTTACTGATTGTTCAACTCTTCAGAAACAACACTGTGGGTGGTTGGTGGGTGCTCTGGTATGGTTTGCTCCTTCTTTCCTTTCAAACACCTATCGTTTTTATCTCCCCTTCTTTTTAATGTTTGCTACTCTCTTGTAACACCTATAATCTTCTGGCACTCACATGACCTTATGCAGTTGCGAGCGCCGTAAAACCTCTACTAAAACTAAACTAAGAAACAACACTGAATTATTTAAAGTGGATAACTAAAAATCACCAATCGATGGCATCAGTGAAAGTCAAATATTTGGAGCAAATACATTTCATAACAACGGCCAGGGAGAAACGATCGGGCGAATCGTGTGTGGTCTGAAGAGAGACTTACGGAAGACGGTCGATGAGAGAGACCGTAAACACGTTACTGAAGAGTGGGGGGTCGATAAATGGTCACTGTGAATGCTGCTCTTTTCGTCATTTTTTCTTCTTAATGATAATATATGGGCAGATCATTTTGTGTTTCCACAAAACGGTTTTTATGCGTGTTCTGCTGTGAATCTCTGTCTCTCTTTCTCTCACACACACACTCTCTCTCTCTTTCTCTCTCTCTCTCTCTCTCTCTCTTCCACAATTCACCCACTTTTCACTCGTTCATTCATACCATATCCCCCAAACAATATTATTCATATCTAAACAACACAAATGTTTCAAATATTCTAAAATTCCGAATGTTGCTTCTTTACAGACTTCTTCAAAGACGACGATGTAAATTTATAGGAAAATCCGAAGCAGGCGAGATAGGGAGAGGAAAAGACAGAAGTACAGGGGTCTCCAGACATCCATCAACACATTCAAGTATATCTATCACTGCTAAAAGACAACTTGCAAAAAGAGGATATACCCCAAAGCAAAGACAGACGCCAAGTCAAGACAGACGGCAAGTCTGTCTGGCTGAACGCAATGACCACCACCAACGCCATCAGCATCAACAGCAACAGCATCAACAGCATCAGCAACAGCAGCAGCAGCAGCAGCAGTGGGCATGAGCGATGAGAAAAGCGAAGGCAGCATGAGCTACCTCTTCTACGTGGGGATCATCATCCCCACCATTATCACCATCGTCCTGTTCGGGGTCTTCATCTACTGCTGGTGAGTATAGGGCGACTGTTGGGATTGTGTGTCTCGGTGTTCTATGAGAGAAAGAGAGGGGGAGAGAGGGGGAGAGAGAGGGAGAGAGAGAGAGAGAGAGAGGGAGAGAGAGAGAGGGAGAGAGAGAAGAGAGAGGAAAGGGGATAGACAGACAAATTGTAGCGGGGAGAGAGAGAGGGTGAGAGAGAGAGAGAATTTTCGGGTCTCTCTGAAG